AATGTAAATTATATCTACACTTTTTAACAATAAACATGTAAGTGCACGTTGTTCCTAAAAATCTTAATGATGTTATCAAGTCATTGTGTCTAGCAGGCATTTAAAAATGAAGCCTTCAGAATAAGGAAACAAGCCTCTTTATTTGGGGTGGGGGGTAATTTTTACAGAATGTTAATATGATTATAAAGCACTGATGTTTTTAACATACAAGTTCTACTTTAATTTAGTAAAACTAATAATACATAATATATTTAAATTATTTTATTGTAAATCATCTATTACATAATTCCTTGGAATCTTTGCATTTTAAACAATGCAATATATAACCACTAAAGAGTTTTCAAGTTTCATAATTATGCAGAAGCTTTTATGCTATCTCTGACATTATAAAATTCTAATATTTATTGCCTTCTTGTTATCATTATTTGTTGTGACGTAGATTTTAACAATGTTGTCTTTAGGGAGGTTGCTTTATCATACTTTGATCTTGCAAAATTTCCCATTTATTGACTAGAAAGGTAAACTCTTATCATAAAGACAGCGGTGCATAGAAATCACCTTTGGAAACTTTACTCATCATCTAAAAAATATTTGAGTCATCATAAGCTTTCTGAGAAAACATTCAGGAGCAAAAACAGTAACCTATGAAAGAAAATGAATTGAAATATGAATATATTTGGCTTAGGTTGGGTTTATAAAAAAAAAGAGAGAGACAAACATCAGTGGTACACACCATTCTTTACTTAAGTACTGTCTTTTTCCCTAATGAAATATTTCCCTCAATCCCCATTAAGAAAAATGGTGAAATATGCCTTCATTAAAAAGGTCTCTTCAGCTTAGAATTTTCTGACTAGCTGTCTTTGTGTTTTCAAATTAATAATGCAGCAGGACTGCTCTTATTTATGTAGGAAATAAAGAAATCATTACAGCAGTGGCATCAGAAGTAAGAACCAGTACAAACCAGCAACTATAGGATGATCAAATGCATTAACCCCAACCTTAAGAAACATTCATTTGGTTGATATTGAAAGTCAAAGGCTGTTTTCCTCATTTGTCTGAACACAATTTTGTGAACTTACCCTTTGAACCTTTCTCTCTTAGCATAAGACACAGTTACATATTTATTTTTATGGTTGTGAATTTGAAAGCATTGGTTTTCACCCAGAACTTGCCCATTTGGAAAAAGTTTTCAATCATATATCATTAATAGAAACTTTGTTGAAATAGTGGAGTCTGCTGTCTCCTCGAGTTTAAAGCCTCAAGTACTTTGTTGGCAGGGGCAATGCCAAAGCCTCAGCTCTGGTAATAACACAACAGATAAAGTCAGTAGCAATTCACCAATGTAAAATATATGTACCCCAAATCAATGCCACTTTAAAGATAAACAAGCATTTTGCACACTAATAAATAATGCAATAAATCTTGCTATATTGGGTTGCAAATAACTCCAACTGAATAAAATTGTGTGACACGGGATTTACTTATTCTGCACATTCATAAAAACAACTTGTACTCTGACAGCACTCATTCTTGGCAATTTACAGCAGCTGTCAGCAGCCAATTTGTTCAGATTACTGCTCTGCATAAAAGTGTAACAATCATGAGGATTTATTAGCTGATTATCGTAAAGGTGGCAGTCCGTCTTGCCTGCCAAAATGCAGGTGATCAGAAAGTTAAATAATTACATGCACATGAACATTATTTCACCTTCATTTAAAAATTGTAGTTCAGCCACAGGTAAAATTTGTTGTTTAAACTTGTAGTATAGTATACAAGACCTAAGATGATCAGTGAATTCTTGGCATTTTATTAAGAACATAATGGTTTCAGAAAATATGGATATAAGACCAAGATGAAGTAAGTACAGGTATTAGAATCGAGAATCTTGGATTTGAGTGACAAATCAATCACTCCAGCTCCATTCAAGCTGAGCAACTTCTAACCTCCTTTAACTTCACTTTCTGCATCTACAAAATTGGTCAACTATGAACTATTCTTATTATCCCCTCATGATATATGTGTTAAATTCCTTATTTGCTCTGAGACATTATTATTATTATCCATTCATATAAATTTATTTTTGTGTAAAATTTAAGAGCCAAATAGACGATCCTTATATCATAATAACAAAAAAGATGTATTGTGGTAAATACTTAAGCTATTTTTTGCCAAATACAACAATTTTTTGCTTTCAAGTATTTTTAAGTACAAAGTACTCAGAAACTCTTCTAATTTAAGCCATTATGACTTGAGTCACTTCTGATTTATTTTTTTAAATTTTCAACTATACATAAATATTTTTCCTCAGTTGCACTAAAATTTGTACCTCTCACTGATATTCTAATTGCCTTTTTATTCATACTTGGTGTCAATTATGTATTTAGTTAGAGAAGGAAGAGCCATAATTTCCTGTCAGGTTTCAGTTATTTAAATTCAAATAGGACAAATGTTTATCGAGAAACAACTGTATGCCAGATATTTTCCTAGACTTTAAGGATGCCACCATGAATAAAACATTGAAAAAACATTAAAACATTGAAAAAAACATTCTACTGATGGAAATAAATAACTACATCAGTAAATGAAATGTGTAGTATGTCACATGGTAGTTTCTTCAGTAAAGAAATTCAAAGCAGGATGAGGGGAAGCGAATGTGAAGGAAAAGGGTTTTTTTTCTTTTAAATGCGGTTCTATATATGCAAGACATTTTATGCAGGTAGTAAGCAAATTCCAAGCTAGAAAAAATAAGAAGAGTGGATACCACTCCAAGTAGACAACCAGGTTATTATAAAAGAACATAATGCAGGAATGGTCAGGTGAGAAGATGCACAGGACAGCCACGTTCAGAGCTTCTATACCTTCTCTGCAGGTACCATAATCCTAACACTTCTATGTGTTCAATGCATAAGACTCCAAAATGGATTTATTCTCTCTGTCCAACTTTATAAGTCCTTTGTTAACTCCCTTATGTATCTAGAACAACCCCTATGATCCATTGCTCAATATTCTATCAAAATTTCCCCAAACATGAACAAACTCACAGAAATAAAAGTTATATAAGGGAAATCAAATCGAATCAAAACTACAATTAGAGAGATACCACCTAACACTTGTGAGAATGGCCCTTATAAAAAGGACCAGAAACTATTTGCACTAGTGGGAATGTAGATCATTCTGGCCCCTATGGAAAACTGTATGGAGGTGTCTCAAAATATTAAAAATAGATCTATTATCTGATCTAGCAATTCCACTGGTAGGTATTTACCCAAAGAATGCAGAAACACTAATTCAAACAGATACATGCACTCGTATGTTCAATGCAGCACTCAAGGTTTGGAAGCTAAGTGCCCAGTGACAGGTGAGTAGATTAAGAAGATGTGGCATACATATAAAGCAATGCTACTCAGCTATAAAAACAAAGAAAAACTTTGCTATTTACAACATTGTGGTTGGAACTGGAGGCAGTATGTTAAGTGAAATCACTCTGAAGGAGAAAGACAAATATTGGATGGTTTCTTTGGTGGACTATAGAGACATCAGACAAAGGAATAGACAAAATTCAACCAAAACAAATTCTTGAAATCTGAATGCAGAGCTGAAGCTTCTGAAAGGGAAGGTGGAGAAGGTGGAAGCAGAGGTGGAGGGGGCTCCCTGGGCTAGATTATGGGTGTCCTGGTGTAAGGCGTGGTGTGGGAACATACACAAAGGGCTATTTATCCAAGATCCTCTGCTTCTGAATCATATGAACCAATGTGAGCACAATAAAAAATAATAGAAATAAGACAGAAATAAGGTTAAATAAGATAAACAGATCTACCTCTCTGCCAACCATTTCTGTAATATCATTAGGAAATGGCCCTGAAGAATTCATATTGTCAAGTGAGGAAAAGGGAGACGTCAGTATTAAATGGATGGAGATGTTTTCATAAGTTTCTAATTTGGAACCTGTCATTATGGGAAAAAATTTAAAAGGGCAAAGAAGGACTCCTATAATAATGACTTAGAAAGAAGTACAGGGAGTTAGTACATATAACAATTTAAGAAAGTTTGAACATAAAGCAATAAAATTAAGAATATACCCCTGGTTGTCATTTTGATTTTTTTGTGGTCACCAAATTTACAGCTATTTTATGATAGCTAATAAGTAAAATGTTTAAGGTTAACTAAAGCTGTTTGTTGAACTCTGTTTATAATCCTAGGAATAAAAATACTCAAAACATATTTATTACAATACCAACAATAAGACCCCCAAAGTTATAAATATGTATGGTTGGATTCCTGTTCTTTTAGATAGTAAAATTCTCTTCATTATTACTATGTATGCATTTCTTCAGTTTGTATGTTCAGAGAACTACAATGAAGAAAGAATTTCATAAATCAACAAATTCTTCTAATTCAGTTCTGACAGGTTACAATGTGTTTTGCTCAAAGACATACATAACTCAAAAATATAAAAGTAGGCTTTAAAACAAGAAAACAGTCTTTCAATTCAAGCAATTATTCAAAATGACAGTGACCTTGTGAAGATGTGTAAACCTCAAAATTATCCTTTACTTTCTGCATTATCTTATGAACAAGTATCTGTTCCACTCACTTTCACCCTTTACTAAAATTTGAGAATGCTATAGACTGTATTCTCAACCATGTAGGGAGTTGTAGGAAATATTGCATTTTATAGTCACAATATACTTATGAAAAGAAATATTTTTTCAGCTCATTTTACAGACTCTGAATATGCTATTATCTCCTTTATAGATCTTATATCAAATGGGATTCTTCTTTCTCAACTTTCATGACTTGTACACAGCTTCTGGAGAGTGAATGTGAAAGCCTGCACATCAACTGGTCAAAACTGCCATCTACTGGTCAGCCTTTAAACCTGTCTTTCAGTTCAACTTAATGTGGTTAAGATCAATTACAATAGTCAGACTCCAAGTAAATATTCTTTTAACAAAATGCACCTTCTCCAAAGCGAACCAAAAATATTAAACTGCACAAACCTGCCAATAAAATCATCCCTTTTCCCAGCGTCTTTGTCCCATGCAGTGATATCAATGATTCCACCTCTTTCTTCATAGAGATGAAAATCAAACTGTTCTCTCCACTGAGGATTCAAAGTTTTTGGCATTATCTGGAAGACCAAAAGTCATTAAAATCTTGTCAATATCAGTATTTAAAAAAAAAATTAAGCCAAACTTTGGGTACTTCATAGAAAAACATAGAAGTGCAAGATTTGAACAAAAGCTTCCAGAGATAAGGTAATAGAAAGTTGTCATCTGATCATTAAGTCCTTTACTGTATATTGCCTAAAAGGGCACAAAAGGATGTGTCCTGAAAACGAAAAAGGCCCCCTTCCTCATTTTGAATAACAGATGAGGAATCTGAATTACACTGAAAGGCAAATAATCTGAAAGCAAATAGTTCATTCAGTTACCAGGCATTTATTTTAAATAGCTAGTTAATGCACAAAGATGTAACTTGTGAATACATGAAAAAAGCCAAACAATAAAGTCCTAAAAAAGCAGGTAGAAGAAACAGTTTGCAAAGGTCAGGCAAACTGATCTTAGAATTATAGCACTGCTGTATCATTTCCAGTTTACAGATGGATGAATCAAGATCTGGAGTTTAAATAGTCAACTCGTTTTAGAGTTGACCATAGTTGTTTCAGAATTTAGACTCTATGTCTCTGATTAGATATTCAGATCTCTTTCCCCCTAAAACAATATGCCAAAGAGGTTTGGGGAATTAATATGAATATCATGTCACATATATGAGAAAGATACTTGAAGTGCAAACTTATAACTTCAAATATTTAGATGAGACAACTGGTGAAATCAATGCATAAAGTGAGCCATATTAATATGTTTGAAATTCCATTTACCATTGTCTTAACCAATACTTCATAGTTGTTTCTCTATTCTTTTTGGTAGGAGGGCATGCTGTGGCCTTTTCTCTTTTTAAATGTATGAAAGACATATCATCAGATGTAAAGACTTTGAAAGCAATGAAGTATGTTATGTGCAAAGGTAATACAAATGAATCACAATTTTTAAAGTTCATAATCTGAAATTAATCAGCAATAGATCACGGAAAGAAAGAGCAAAGAGAGACACATGTCCATAGCTGAGTTTCATATTTCACACCTAAAGAGCAGGACTATAAAAATAAGTAATGTTTTAAGCCTACTAGAACATGGAAATGATGCTAATTGTTAAAGGACAGGATGGACACAGTCATAGGCAACTATTTTGGGAATCAGTAGTCTCCTTGAAATATGCTATTAACTTTATGATTAAAAAAAAAAGATGGCACTGGAGGTAGGCTACAGTAATTCAAGTCTCATACTTTGATTCTGAATAACTCCTACACTATTTTTGTAGGGGTGTAAACTAAATTTTCCATTTTATTTTTTAGGGTTATCTTTTCTCTATGGTTACATTCAGATTGGAAAGGAAGCCTCTCCTTCCAAGGGGCTATGTAATAAGCTAACCAATCAGCCTGCAGCAGCTCATTATCTGTAATGAATCATTTTGTTGTATTGCTGATAATCCCAGGTTTTGTGAAAACTTTCCTTGGCTATTTATCCCAGATCTATGAAAAGGATGAGGCAAACATGAAGATATTTCTTCAAAGTAGAATGTGATTTTTTTTAATACAAGATGCGGTCAGTTGTCCCAAGTTGTCTATAAAAACTGACTACTAGGAGCCCTCCCTGATGGCACATCTGGTAAAAGTGCAGCACTCTGAGGCTGGCCACAGTCACGTCAGCACCAGTTTGATCCCCTGCATGGGAGGTGACCCACATGGCGCAGCAGACCTCTCCTGACGGCCTGCTGCTCCCTTCAGCAGTCTACTTCGTCGATCTGCCTGTTCTGCTCCCCACTCTGTCTCTGGTGAATCCTCTCAACACTTCTGCACCTCTGGCCTGCACCCCAGTTCTGTATGCATCAATAAATAAAAAAAATATATCAACCAGTAAAGAGGCCATGTCTGTTCCTCAAATAGCCATACCTGTGACCACGACGGCCTTTAATATTTATCAGTGGCCTTTAATATTTATCAGTGCTTCTGCTGATATGATTAACATGTCACTATGTTAACAATATGATTCATATAGTATTTTATAACTACTACTTGTTACTATTCAGTATACTTGTTACTATTGCTATTACTCATCCTCTTCCTTTTGCTACTAATATTTGTTAAACATTTACTATGGGCACAAAATATTTCAAGCTCTTTATATGCATAACATACACCCTTTTAATATTCTCAGTAACTTCGTTATGTAAGCATAATTTTAATTCTCATTATTATTTAATTGGACATGGGGAGGATAAATGAATTACCCTATGGTGCATGGCTGGTAAAGGCAGCAAGGATCTGGCCCATTTATTCTAAATAGATTTTTATAAACTTTGCAATCTGCATTGGTGCAGTTCAGTTCGAATAAAATGGCTCGGTGTAATACACAATGACATTTTGGTATATAAAGTAACGTTATTTGTAGTGCTGCTCTAATAGTGGTTGTGATAATAGGAGCAGCCAACACTCTTTGAATCCCTTATGCATCATCACAGATTTGGCCCATTTCTTCTTCCTCCTCTCATTTTTCTTTAAGAGATAGTTCACACTGTTATCCTTGGTTTGAAACGAAGCAATCAAGACATTCAGATGGTATGCATGGAGAAGGTCACATAACACTTAAATTCAATACATTTGCTGAGCTTGTTTTCTGACAGGATGCTCAAAATTTCTATTAAGCATTTTTAAAACTATCAAGTGTTTTCAGCTTTCAAGGAATGATGCCAACCACCCATTGCCTCCCCAATACTGCCAGGAACACACCTTGCTCTTATACTTCTGATGCCCAAGTCGGAACTTCACGTAGGGGTCACTTAGCCCATTTGAATCCATGGCTTTGAGGTCTCTCCCCTCAATCAATGTGATGCTGACAATTCCTCTCCAAAGATGTGACTTTCTGTGTAGGTCTGACAGACGTAAACTTTGGGCCTGAAACTTTGGCAAAGGAAGGCAGCGTTAGTTTAATGTGTCTAAAGCCAAAATACCTCACTGGGCATTACTTCTCCCCTGTTGTTATATTTTTTCAAAATTAAAAAATAGTTACAAAATTAATTAATGGGTTATTAGTTAATTATAAGATTATTAATAAATTATAAAGTCAGCATTTCATGATAAATTTAAGGTGCTTGTGTAAAAGAGTGCTTAAATAAAGAATTTATGTCTTTCAAATATTACAATAAGATTTAGATTCTTCAGGAATATCAGCAAATACATATGTGTCAAATATGCCTGTGTCAAAATACATATAAAATAAATATAAATAGCAAAGGCCTCATCCAGATTGTGATATTTCATTTTTAATTACTTATGGCTTTTGAAAATCTTTTTTTCATGTTATAAAAGGGATTTACAGATGGCTTTAGTTGTACTATTTGCTGCAAGTTCTAGTCAGATCATTTAAAAACTTCATTATTGTCACATTTGGAGACAACTGAGTTTTAGCTAACTGAGGAACTATTTAAAGTACCACAGAACAGAAAATAAAGTCCGTATGCCCACCCAAGACAGCTTGCTTGTTTCTGAAATTTGAATCACAATATTTTTAACATTTCATATGTGACATACATCGGCAGGTATGTTTCTAACTTACATCTTATTCTAGAATTGAATGTTTTCTATAATTTTTTATTATGCTCATTTCTAAGTTACAATATTTAATTTAGTGAACAAAACTTGAATTTTCTAAAATATGCAAGTCTACTAAAGTTGATCACATAATCCCTTAAATTAGCATGTGAAATAAGTTGTACGACATTTAAAATCTTTTACACCTGGAATCAGCATTATGAAAGTTGCTATTTCTTTCATAGTGTCAAGTATATATTCTTCACTTATAGTAACTTCATGAGAAAATTCAACATTTCTCCCAAATTCAAAGTACTCCTATCTAAACTGTGAATTAGCGCTACTTTCAACGAGAGTTCCTACTAAGTTAACATTATGAAGTTACAACCTATTTTACATAACTCCCCTCCTCCTTTGAATTCTTGCCTTTCTCCCATACCATTGTTATTGTTATCTATCATCATCAAAAGTCACTTAATGAACTTTAATTAGGAAAAAGAAAACTGCTTTTTTTCAAAAGATAATACTTCCGATATTAGAACATTTCAATGGGAACCTTCTAAAACCCAATGCATATTTTCCTGCCTTGATAAAAAACATGCCTTAATTAATACTAATCAATACAAGACATAGCCTACATATTCTGCATGTCTGTGATCTTCAAAAACTTTTTTCAACTGTGTTCTAAAGTGCAGTGGAGAGTTCACAACACCCCAGCAACTTCCGCTGAATATGTCCCACTTCACAAGACCCTCATGCCCATCTGTTTTACACATTGGGTTTTAATGTCCAATTTTATTTGAATGAGGGATTAAAATAACAACTGGAATTCATTGTGCCAAATGACCTTTAAGGATCATTTTACAATTTCATGCTACTTTTTATTATTTAATATAGCAACAGACTAATTTTGCTGTGTAATTGTTGATTGACTTATCTAACCATTTCTGCTGTTGTTGAGATGGCCTCTCTCAGCTGTCTGCAGGGAGTCAGGCTCTAAACTCTGGGTTTGAAACTTTTATTAAGGAAGGTGAGTGGCAATAAAGGAATAAAGAAAGACAGAGTTTTCAAGGAGTAAGGAAACATCATTATATTAGTGAAAATCAAAGAATTAATAACTACCCATTTATCTAGAGCTTTAGAATTTCAACGTGCATAAGTGTCTACTATGTCACTTGGTTTTTCTAGGAACCTATGAAATGAGAAGACTGGTATGCCTGTTGTACTGAGAAAAAACTGAATAGTGGGGCTAGTAACTGCTAGATGAGTGATTATATGCCAGTGCTTTTACCTGGAAAAACACTGGTCTTCTCCCAACATAAGTCTGTGGAGCAGACCTCTTCTTGGCTTTAAAAATAAAAGTGATTTCAGTATAATGTTGCAAAGAGATACTCTCTAGTGAAGTGAGTGGATTGTATATAATGACATTCCTTCTAGATTTTTCTGTGTGGCTAATATATGAAATCACTTTTACTTTTCTACTCTAAGAGCCCATGGATTTATAATACTTTAGTTTTGATGAAAGTGCTTAGTGTCATTTTCTACTCTCTCCGCAGAAGGCATTCCTGTCTTCAAGCAGTTGTATTCAGTCTAGGCTATACACAGCTCCAATCATTAATGCCAAGTCGGGTTCTTCAATGGCATCATGTCTAGAACCCTTAGATGCTCCTCTTTCCATCTTTCACATGAGAAAAAGAGCTTAACTTAAAGGGTAGAAGGGAAAGAATGGGAATGAATTTAATGGAAGCACTGCTCACTGCTATAACCCGGAAGGACTTTTCCAAGTTGGCTTTGGAAACTAAGGGGGGAGAGGAGGTAGGAGAATCTTTCTTCATAAAAACAAGGTTAATAAGTGTGGGAATAAAAGGTTTAAAAGAAAAAAAAAAAGGAGGGACCCCCATAACATACCATATATAAGTTTAAGTGATTTTTTTTCTTCAGGTTTTGGGTGAAAAATGGCAGTGTCCTATAAAGAAACTCCAAAGTTTAGCTATGATTTGTTTGAGTAAATGCATAGTCATGAAACAGATCAGTATTTATTCTAAGTGTGAATAATAAAAGCTTAAAATAAATATATAAGGTGAAGGAGAAGATACAAACTGAGGAGCCCAATAGTACAAAAGACAAGCACCTACATTTTTCTAGCAATTTCTGGCTATGGACTTGACATGTGATTCCTTCTCTAGCCTCAATTTTCCTATTATGGTTTTCCAACCTATATTCCAGGGACTTTTGTACTGGGAGCACTATTCTGTGTGTGAGAGGGAGAGGAAAGGCTATATTGCAGAACTTAGGTAGAAAAGGGTCTAATCCATACACAAAGAATTAACTTTCTTAGTTAGTTATTAAAGTGAAAGTTGCAAAGGACTCACTAAGGGGTTGGTAACAAGTAGAATTCTACAGCAAAAAAAAAAAAATATATGAAAACCACCACTTTTATGCTCTTCTCATCTGCTCACTATTTCACTCTCTTCGGTCTAGCAAGGTTCCCAGTGTAGCTCCCAGAATAATGACATCAGTGTTAACCCCAGAGCTTGCTAGAAATTCAAATTTTTTAGCACTGTTCCAGATCAAAAGCATCTGAAGTTGGGCTCTGTAATTTGGTTTAACCACTCTCCCTCTGTCTAGTAGCTCTGAAACAGGCCCAAGTGCTTCACAGTACATCCACAGTGACCTTCTGCTACATTCTAATAAACTTTACCAATTACTATAATTGTGCACATCATCCACTCTCTAGCATGCATAGTCTGCATGCCATTTAAAGACCTTCATCCTGCTGCTCAATGTACTAGTTAGAAAAGAGATTGCTCTGTATATTTGGAACATTTAAAGAGAGAAGTAAAACTTGTATAGAGGCTATTATTTCCTTCCTTGATGAACATTTTTCTCATAGGATATAACTAAATAACACCTATTTATCAATGTAGTAATGATCAGTCAACCAAAACTTACTCCTTGAGCACCTAAATGACAAGGAGTATTAAATAAAAACAAGATATCCTTCAATTAAAATAGTATATTCTAGTTGGCACATAGTTAATTACAGTAACATTCTTGACTATGTTCTTGTTGAGACAGAATTCTATTTGAGGTGGGTAAGAAAAAAAAGGGGGAAATAAAAGGGAATACACAGTGGTCTTCAAAGCAAAGAACCCATTCCTCAAAAGGGGAAAATAATCTTTCAGTTTTCAAAGCAGTAGTTCCAAATTTTAGTGGGCTCTGTTGAAATCTTGCATATGACTCTCCTGGAGTAGATTCAGGTCTGTGGAACAGAACCCCAGTGCATTTTCCATACATGCCTCCCACAGTTCTTACACACAGCAAAGTTTGAAATGCCTTCAAATATGTACTAGCTATCCAATCCCAGACTTAATGAAAACTATCCAGATACATGGTAACAACATAAACTTAGAGTCTGAGGCAATGAGTACCAATGACCAAAGTCTTTAATAAAACTTTGTAAATTGTGAGCTGACATTCTAAAGAAAATTATTAATTTATCTATATTTTTCCATGAAAAAGAATTCAACATTTCAATTATTTTTCATATCCACAGAAATTAGGATAGGGAATGAATTTTCAGAATAGTAAGTTGGCAATTTAGAGTTCACAGCTCATGCAAGCTCAGAAAATAAAAATAAACTGAATGTTAGAACTTACTTGTGCATTTTGGTAATAAGCACTCTGAAACTCTGCTCTGGAGAAGCCCGGTACAGGAAAAGCAGGCCTGCTGTATGTCTGGATGGAAATGAATGATCAGAGCTGTTTGGGAAAGATTTGTACCGCTATCCACACCTTATTTCAACCAGAGGCTAACATTGCTCTCAAAAGACATTAATACAAAAAAATAAAATGTGTTTTCTCCTCAAGTCACTGTAGAAAATTCTAGAACAAAGAAGATAAAGGCCAGTGCAATGATACAATTTCCAGTACTATTTTCTTTAGTAGAAAAATGCTGCAGCATTCAAGAAAATAAAGACCAGAGGTTATACGGGGATGATCCTGCTGAGTGGTTTCAGATCTCCATTAATAAAAATAACAGATTAAAGAAATATAACAAGAGAAATCATGGAAAAAATCAGTTTTCCAAGTCAGAACCTTCAAATATTTCTGTTTCTCCAAAAGAATAAAAGTAACAAGAATAGGCAACCTGTATGATCATGTTAACTGCACCTCTCATGTGAATCCTTTGTGATGATTAAAGAGAACTTTTATAAAGCAAGAGAAAATTTACTCTACATAGCACTTCTCTGTCTTGTCTTTGCTACAATAAAGCAACCCAGGTTTCCCTTTATTACAAACACCCAAAGTGGCAAAGGATGGATTAATAGATACAGATGAACAAGAAATACTAGAAAAAAAATTATGATGGTGAGGCTGAAATTTTGCATTAAATGCCTTCTAGAGTAGCTAGACAAAGTATCCAATCAATAGTGCTACTATGAAATGGGATTCATCAGTTTTAATAACATCAATAAAGAGAAATAGATGAGAGCAGTTAAAAAGATAGGATAGAGCATTCAGAAAGAAATACACATTAACTGAGCAGCTATTATATGCTGGATTTTCATATCCCAGGGTTTTTTCATGACAACTTGTTTTTCACAAAAATAAACCAAGGCTTGGAAAAGACAAATACTCTACTCAAAGTCAATTGTCTAGAGATTGGCCAGTCTGACATCTTTAGAATCTGGGGTGATTGATAGCTTATTAATGATTTACCCCATAGTGTCCAGTATTTTGGACAAAAACTAAGAAGTTGATGACACCAAAAAGAAAAAAAGAAAATAATTAGTGGATATAGGATTTGCTGAAATACTTTGACTTATGTTTAGATGAAATATATCCTTGGTTACAGATTATTGAGAAAAGCTAACCAGGGGGTTAGAGGAAGTAAAAGTTGATAGGTGATTTAACTCTAGCCTATATATTATTCAGTAAAGCATATTAAATACTCCATTATAAATTATACCTTAATATCTATTAATAAGGTAGTTCAATTGTGGACTCTTGCATAAAAATTGAGAACATTTCTATATTTCAATTGTAGCTAATAAAATTAATTAATTCCACTGCTTGAAAACTTCATAACTAATAATAGGAGACATCCCTATTTCTGGATCTAGATTTAAAAACAGATCAAAAGCTCCCAAAATCTATTTACACTTAATATATGGCTAAAGGAACACTCACAATATCAATCTACTCCTTGAGAGGTGCAAATAATCCTTGACTTTTGTTATCCTGAATTTTATTTTATTTTATTTTATCCTGCGTACAACCTAATCCTTCAAAATTAGACTCAGACATTGTGAAGCTAGAGTGAAAGATATTGCTTATGTCTTTACAATAGCTATGTGTGGATTCAGCCCTTTCCTCTCTTTTCAGTAGAGAGGTGCACATGCTTTTATTTAATCAAATGATCCTTGAGACACTACAAAGAAGAGATAATGACAGCCTAGAATGACTGTTTTGTGCTGCAAAGCCTGGAGCGTGGAGCAATTATTAGCTCAATCCCAGGCACAGGCATACTCTATCTTTTCCTTTCCCCATGGAGTTTATTCTAGTAAATTGCACCTGGATGATGAACTCCAACAAGTAGATTTGTTCCACAGTCCATCCACCCTCTCAAAGCAGGATTGCCTTGATAGAAACCTTTCCAGTGCTTTGTCTGGTCTAGTTTGAAGTGTCTCATCTAATAATAAAGCTTTGATCCCTTTTTTCTTAGAAGATGAATCACTGCCACTATAATCCTTAAAGAAATTCTCTGGTTTTTGTCCCTAAAGTTTATTTCCTATTTCTATTGCTTCTTGATACAATTTATGGTGTCAGGAAGGCATTTATGTTTACTTGGGAGGTTTTAACTACGTTTTCTAATCCTAATTGTGACCAAACTCAAGTTCTTAAGAAGCTTTCACTGTTTTTGTTAAAAATATATAACTTATAGAAAATCATCATATATACTGTAATTTTGTTGGTTTGCTAAAGAAATCTAAGTCTTTGCCAATCTTATGGCAAAGAAAGAATGAGTCTGGAGATTGACCTGTAGAGAGTTTGAGACTTTTAATTAAAAGCTCTTTTAGAGGGGCTTCCTTTCATACATAAATGAATAAAACACCTAACTTTTTCTTCTGTGTTTGTGTCAGGAAGGTTTATTTTTGTGTCATATATAACTGAATTGTTCAGAATGTAAGCACTTCCCCCATTCAATCACATTCTTATTTTACAAAGCAAAGACCTCTTCTCCTTGGTCTACAGGGTTTTCCTTCAATCACACTTCTGTTTAATTTTACCAAGGTAGTACTCTGACATAGTTCCAAATTGTTCTATATGCTATGCACTCTGCTTTGCCAATTTCATATTATTACCTATTTCTCCACTTTTTAATGTGAAGTATCTTTTAATTCGCTCCATTTAAACAATATTAATTGTCCTGATGGGAGTTCTTCATTTGTACTAGATTGCAAATTTGCTGCACAAAGAACAAACTCAACAGAGAAGACCTGTGAATTCTTCACCATATGAATTCACCATTAAGAAAACAGATGCAGAAAGCTATTTTTAATGTGAGGTCATGGAACAATTCAAAAGCTTCACTGTGTGCATGGATAATGCTTGAACATATTAAAGAAATTGCCATTCTTTTAACAAAGGTATAGAATAACTTCATGAAAGCAACCACCAGTAGACCAGAGGAAATGAAGCAGCAGTAACTACTAAAATATGCTCACAACAATACAAGGCTGAAAGATTGTAAGATTGTGATGGGGACAGGACATAAGTAGATGTGGCTCTTATTAGTTTGCTGGTCAGTTAAGGCATGACTTCATGTTCTGATAGTCTGCTTCAGAGACCCTCCAACAAATCTCAAAAAATCTGAAGGAGAAAGGTTGATTTTGGACATGAGCAGTTAGAGAGCCAAGAAAAGAAAATGGCAAGGCCCTACAAATGCTATATTATCATTGTAGTATCTGTTGCCAGGTAATCATGTATTGTAAAATTTCAAGGAAAGAGGGAAATTCTTGCAGACAAAGTAGTAAGTGCATAAGTAATAAATCATCTATCTAAAGCAGAGTTACAGCAGAGAAGATGGGAATGACAGAGCTCATTAGGTTTGAGTCATAAAGAGTAAATAAGATTAAGTTGCAATGGCATTTAAAAAAAATCTTTGGAATTTTTTTCTTTTTCTTATTTGAATAAAAAGCAAAGTGCTGTTTTCTAATTCATAATAATCTCTTTTTTAAAAAAATAAGGAATGCTGATTATCTGTTATATAAGATCAATGTAATATAAGGTAGTTTGTCTCAAATAGAAATGGAATAGAAAATAATTCCATTCCACAAGAAGGGAAATTAGAATTTTAATAAATCGCTAGATAGCACTAACATATTCTTGAAAGGCTTCTGGGCCTCTGCTTATTCAAAAATTGGGATCAATTTGATCCCATAAGGAACTGACTTCAAAAAAATATACTTAATGTATGAAGATCTTAATTTTTACAAATGAAGAAGGATCAACAAGATGACTAAGAATAAAAGTTAAAAGAAGGCAAATGAATACAGCTCTCTGAGAGTGTTTTTTAGAAAAGAATTTCTCAATTCACTTTAACTTTCAAAATAACTATTCAGAACAAAAGTCAAGAATATTAATATAAAGGATTTAGACATTACCCTCCAAAAGAAAGACTTCATAGAGAAATAAGATCCAACAACTTCATTTTCTGAGAGTTCCTAAAAACAAACAAATATTTAGCTACAATTTGAGGTGTTTTTGAGAATAATTAGCCCAACAAAATTAAGACAAATAAACAAAAAATTATATGTCCTAAAAACACTCTGGATGATAAAAACTGTAAATTGTCTTCCTTTAATAAGTTAAAGTTATTGTTTTATTCATATAGTATACTTACCTCTTTATTAATTGTTGACTAATAAATCTGAGTCTTACATTTTATAAAAGTAAAACTGTTAAATATATTTTAAGATTTTTAAACAAGCCAGTTAATAGCTATCTTTTTAAACAAAATAATTTAACACCATAGGAATAAGAGCAAAAGGAGAATGGTGAATTTTTGAGGGAAAATTTTAATAATCAACTTTTAGAATTTATATTTCTCTGCTAAAATTCAAGAAACAAAGCTATTAACCACATTTGGGTCCACTGAAATAACTTTCTATATTATGTTTAGTTAATTCTGTCACTACTCATCACTTAAAACTTATACTTTATTTTATAATTTACACACTCATGTAAACTATCCCTTTACTTCAATTGAAAGAAGTTAATTTTGCTGTGCCTTTTTATTTGTTCTATCTGAATATAAAATTCACACACACACAAAAAAAACTGGCTAAGGTTTTCCTTTCACTAGAGCTTCCAATGATGATAACAACAACAACAATAATACACCTGAGATTATAATAATGATTTTTAAAGAAAAGAGGTAATTTTATAATGGATGGTAAGTCAACAAAATAAACTACTCTTGAATTTCAGAGTAGTTTAATTTATCTTAAATCTTAATTGTAGACATGTAGCTACATTTTAATTTCTCCCAAGACAAGACTGGTGAGGGAAAGTGCCATTTTTAAACTGTTAAAATTATAAAATAACAGCAATATGAAACAACAAAAAAATGAAAATATTGAAATGATAAGGGAAAATTATTGAAACTATTCTGAGCAGTAAAACAGTGACCTATTTTACTGAAGTTAAAGTTACAGGATACATTGGCAATATCTTAGATATATTTTTGCCTCAAAGACACCAAGGTACACAAAAAAAATTTCTCTTCAAATGTCCAAAACTTACTATAAATAGAAAAATTAAAAATATTTTAAATTTAAAAATGGAGATGTACTTTTCCTCAAAGAAACAAAATAAAGAGCAATTCATTTTCCCTCTACTAAATGATTGTGATGCATTTTCCAGCCTTCAATATAAAATAAATCATAGAAATCTTTAAAGACTTTGCCAGTAGATGAATAAGGATTAGCCACTAAACTTTTATTAAAAGTGTTCTTTTTTTATTAGCCTTAATGTATGCCGGCCTTTATATATAATGCATGTTATTATAATTCAGCGATTCCTCCAGATTAAAGTATTCACAATGGACTTGAAATTGTGAAGCTTGAGATTTAAATGTACAAGTCAAGTCAGGTGGCATTCTTAATTACACAGCATGTTTTTATAGGCACACAATTTCTTTTAGCAATACTGTATTGGGAAGTTAGGAGATAACAAATAAATAAAACCATAAGTAAACAGTTTTCATAAATGTTCCTGGCCAGCTTCAATTACCATTTATCAAGCTGTGGCTCTGGGATACTTCCATCAAGTTAACTAAGCAAGCCTACTGATAGTTTCATGAAGAGGGTCATGAAGTAGAAATTCTCACTAAATTGCTATTTTTCTGTTTTCTTACATAGGTGTTCATAGCATTTTTATTCATTAAATATAAATATGATTTCCTCTGCAACCCCAACTGTCTTTTCAAATATTGCTGAAAAGAGAGACAATCTCAGCTCCCTAGAGCCCCTTCCTATAACTAAAGTCTGATCTTGCCTTTTTTTTTATTTTCCAAGACATTTTTTATCTTAAACCATTCATATATGTGTTTTTGGGTGTATGTGTGTTTGTGTGTGCTTGTGAATGTATGTTTGTGATATGTATTTGCATATATGTGTATATATTACTGCCAGCCAGTTACAAAAGTAGGGTCATCACAAATTTATGAATTGTTTTTCTTGTGAACACTAAGGGAACTTCAAAAATTATGAATCTACTCCCTGTCCCATTCAATTATATATATATACACACTCATACACACACACATACATTTAACACATATATCATATATACACACACCAATGTCTAGATATGATGATTATATATACACATATTTACCTTTGAATTAAAAGGAAATGTAATCTGTGAACCAACCCTTATCCTGCAGCCTTGTTACATTCCCTCCCTTTGATCAACCTAAAAAGAGTCTTGGAAAACCATCAGCTTACTTGGTAACACACATTAGCAACGTGAAGTTCAATTTGTGGTTCTGCATTTAAACCTCTTATACCTAACATGCAGGCATCATGGAATCTGTTCTCTAAGTCCTGTTATACCTGGTCTTCTTACTTCTAGCCAGTTCATCTAGATTTGCTCCCCAAGGACACATATTTTAAAAATTCAACAAGAGTAGTCAAATACATGTAATGTCATTGCTATAGCAAATCCCTGTAGTTTGAATTATTATACATAAAAATGTATGATAGTTTATACCTGTAGGAAAATATTGTCAAAAAGCAAAAAAAAAAAAAATCATTTCAATATAAAATTTAATTATAACTCTAAGTCTTTTGTGGGAATAATCAAATATTTACTAGCATTGTGATATCTATTTTAAATAGATATCCTACAATTTTATGAATTTGATTGAGATAAAAAATAAACTCTTCAATAATAGAAATGTTCATGTTATTCATCCTTTGTTCATCGTTGCATTTTGGATCTCAGGAGTTTTAATTATGAGATTAATTTGATATCATATCCAAAGAACACAAACGTAAGAGAGTAACGGTTGCAAAGTAAGGATTTTTAAATAGTTCTATATTCTCTTCAAAAATAGTTAAATGGCTCAAGTCATAGGCCTAATATTTGAAGTGAGACACCAAAGAAAAACCATGTGGTCACTCACAGTTGATTGAGTACATGACCAATAAATGTTTCAGTTTTTAAATATCATCTATTGGTTATCAGGTATGAGATCTTTTTGTAAAGGACCTGATAATTGTTAAATACGATTTTTCTCCCCCTATGTCTGACTGACTTTGTGAGATACTTAAAAATGTGTTAATCTGTTTCTCTATCGTTTCCTAAATTAAAGCACTTAGAGGTTTTCACTGATGCATTTTTAACATGTCATCCAAGGTGTCAGGTTTAACTACGCCCTGCAGACTTACAGAGTTGAAAGTGTTCTCCAGTTTAAATTAACAATATCCTTGCCAAAAGTCTTATTAAAAACTGCTTCATTCAACCAGTGAATTAAGTGTTTCATAGTTCATTAAAATTATGCTAAGTGATTATAATAAAATCTTTATAAAAAAGATGTATTACTAAAAAAAATAGGCCATCAAGAAACAGAAGATATGCTAATGAGACATCATCACATAGTCTATATTATATTATTCAAAGGATGAACTCTTCTTACAACAATCCAAACTGCTATTGTTGAGAATATGAATTGCAAAGCATATATCTTTATGTTATCACAATGGCCATTTCTCATATAATTGAAGTGACTTATTCAAAGTACATAAGTATATAAGTATCTCACCTGGTTGATACACTAATTTTTTTTCTGTTAAAATACACACTCATACACACACACACACACACACACACCAAAACTTGTAAAGTCATTTCTGCTTACTAGCTGATAGAGACAATTACTGCATTATTTTTTCCCATTTTTAGTTTGTCTCTATGCAATTTATTCACAAAATACATATGTATCTTTTCTTCTGAGCTTGTGAAACTTTCTTATTGAATAATTTAATAAATTATAATTATAAATTAATAATTTAATAAATGATCAATGATAAGCTTTTTCTAAGGAATAAAACATAGCCTTAACTCAAAGCATCACCATGTTTCTGCCAAAATGTATTTTGTCACATTAGTATAGTTTGTTGACTGGGGTAATTGTCTGGTTGCCCAAGTTTAGGGAGACATTCATGCCTTTCTTCTTAAATTGACACATTTCCATTGCAGCTAAATGTGGGGTAGGGTGAATACAAAAAATGGTAGTAGGTAAGTGTATTGAAAACCAGCATAAGTATTTTAAAAGGATGTTGGCATGCCTAGAAGATGAAACATGGGAGTTACTAGCATTTATTAGTTTATATGCCATTCAAATACTGTGTAACATATTTTATAAAGCCTTGCTTTTCCAAGATAAGTTGAGGTCTATCTTCCCTACTTGGTATTAGTTAACAGTAGATTTACTCCAAATAACATACAAGTCCATCCTGATGAGCAATTGCAATATTCCTGCCCTCCATTTGGGTATGCTTCTCTTTATTTCAATAGCAAATACAATCCACACTTGATATGAGTGCCACAAATAATAAGGTTTCCATGGAAAGAATCTATTACTGACGAAAATGACAAGCAGGTATATAAATAATGGGAATTCCATGAGCTGATTCATTTTCATGCATGAGAGATGAGCATATTAAAAAATAACATGTCATTTTAGCTTTTCCATCTTCATGGTTACAGCACTTTTGTTAAAAAAAAAAAGAAGAAGAAGAAGAAGAAGAAGAAGAAGACAACATATTCTGCACTGAAGACAATACCTAATAACATTTCCTGGTTATATTTAAGTTCTGCCATAAAGTTTCTGATACTCAGATTTCATATGGACTATGGGTACTCAAAGATAGCCTGTATTGCAAAACCCTGCTAGAGGGATTAGCAGAAGATTTTTTACCGCTACCTATATCTAACATATTACAAAAAAAAAAAAAAAAAACCAACAACAAACAAACATATCTTTCCTCCAAAAATAAAAATCTCTTAGGAAAATATTTTAAGAGAAAGATTAAAATAATTAGAAACAAAGATGCACTTCGACAAAGCAGGAACACAATAAAACTATTAAAATTACATAGTAAAGTCACATCCACAGTTTCTTAGGAAGCACAATTTACTTGAACAGCATCCTTTCTCCTTTAATCCTTGAAGAAAATACTTGGAGGAACAGTTTTCGTGTATGCCAAAGATGGTGTATTAGGTGGAAATTGAAATTTCAAACTTTCCCCAGAGTTCAAATTTAACACTCTGTTCCTATAACAATAATGTGGATGAATATGACTAATTTTTTAAGGGCAGTGGAAGTTTGGGTGAATTATCAGGTGTTCAGTATGTTTTCATAGAAAAAGTCAAGTGAATGAAAAGAATTTTCTTTATTCAGCATTCAGTATTCCTGCAAATATTTGTAAAGTTGAAAAACCCCTCAGGCTAAAAATCTTACAGTGAAATTACCATGTGCATTAAAAATAATCTGTCAAGTACCAATGAGTATGGGATTAGTCACTGGGACTACTGTTTCTGCAGTAGCAAACCAGAAAAATATGTGAGTATGATGCACCAATGGATTATTAGTAATAAATAAAAATCCAAGAATTTTAAATATAAAAAGTAGAGAATAAATGTTTATTATTCATGCTTAAGTTTTTTATCCTGACAGAAAAGATGTGGATTTATGTTTACTTAAATATTAAAGTTTAATATTAAAATTAATTTGAAATATAAATGAATTATTTAAATAAGAATTTTATGCTGTATTTTATACTATAATAAAGTGGATCATTCCCACTAGTAAGTACTAAATGCCATATAATTTCTGCTCTAACTTTACATTTTAACTGCATCTGGATGAGAACCTATTGTTATATACAAATGGATTACAGTATTTTCACACATAATATAGATACAGAATGAGGAATTGATGTAATCAATGTTTAAAATGTATATACTTTTAGTGAAACACTGATTTTGAAGTACAAAACAAAGAAAAAATAGTAAACAAATATGAACATTACAAACATTTCTCCAAAATTTTGAAATTTTTATTTTGGTCAGTAAAAACACAGCGAACCCTAAGTCAGAAGTATTTAGCAATTTTCCTTAATAATGTTTTTCATTTTATGAAAAGGATAAAGGCGATTTTTCAATGTAACTCTGATGGCTTTGTGAGCCAAATTACCTTTTGGTCCTATATGAATTAGAAGGAAAATGTACATTAAGAAATACACATAAAAGCAGATTAAGATGTTGCCAAAGGTACAAAAAAACATTTTGATACAAGTATTTTCTTAATTCACAAAAACAAAAATGATGACATTAAATTAAAATTTAGCAATAGCATGATTCAATCAGAATGAAAGAAGAAAAGATAGTTATGATCCAGGGTCTAAAAAAATTAGTCACTATCAAAAAGGAATACTGACTTTGAAAACAGAAATTTAAGCAAGCAAGATTTTTATAATTATTTGTCTTTAATTTGCCTCAAGGTGTGCTGAGGTAAAATCTCAGTTTCGTTTTGATACTTTTTTTGTGTTTAAGAATGGTACTGCCAGGGAACTTATTAGAAGATGAGTTTATATCTTACATATGTCACAAGTTATAAGGAAGGGTAGAGTTTAGTAAGTCATAGACACTGCAAACTCGTCTTACTCCCAAAACCACTCATTTTTTTGAAGTGGGAAGAGGCAATGAGGGAAATTATTCTTATTATCCATTGTAAACGTACAATTGTATAGAGCCTTTTGAGTTTGGAAGACTTCAAACTCAATTTTCAGTGAACAAAAAACAAAAGTTGCCAGGATCTTCCTTCTCTCTGGCGTTAGTCTTACCTTAGCTCATCAATGTATTCCTGATCTGGAGCAAAGACATTTTCTAGACCCTGTGGGACATATTTCAGAGACTAAATGCTGAGAATGATGCTGAGAAGTGACCAGAAATTAGCGAAAGGATGACTTGGGTGCAACTGATCAGAGTGATTTCTATTTATTTAAAAACATCGCATGATTTGCGTAAGGTAGATGGGAAAAAATAACAACTGAAGAGTGATGATATCCTGTGATATATTTGAAAAGATATGAGAAAAATTTGGGAAAGCAGTTGATAGTTCTTCTCAACAAGAAATGCTGGAAGATTACATGCTAAGCATTACCTTACTTGATCTTTTCCAACTCTTCCTCATTAGCATTGTCTGTAAATGAAATAAAGTATTTTCATTACGTTATCACTCAATCAGAATAGGGAAGCCAATTGTTTTCTAGAGGAAGCTTAACATTTAAACAGCAAACAGTTTCCAACACCAACCAGACAAGACAAAAATAGTTTCACATATACTCAGCTAAGACCGAGTACCTTTAACATTCAAGCAGTCTTTCTTGGTGAGAATTCATTTGCTTTATTCCTTTGTAAAAAGAAAGGGGACAGTGCATTTGAAATAAAATGGAAATTCTGCAATACTTTCATTGTTGATTGAAAAGAAAATACACTGAATCTCATGACTGGTAATTGTTCATTTAATGGTAGCGGTTGAAGGTTTATGGTGATTTTGCCAGGTAAAATACAGTTTTTATTTTTTCTTCAAACACACTCAAAGTGTGCTGCTGTGGTGGCATCTCAGAAAGGCCTCTGCTCCAGTTACTCTTTAATTACTTCAGGGGTACCCGCCCGGCTAGCTCAGTCAGTAAACCATGAGACTCTTAATTACTTCAGGGTCTACAAACGCCTTCAAATGAGAAAAGTGCTGCATAGTAGGATGGTATTAACAGATCTTCCTACTGAGTGTTTAACCATAATATATCCTTTAAACTAGTTGTGTGTGTGTGTGTGTTAAGAGAGAAAGAAAGTAAGAGGTATTTCATGGCCATCATTTTTAATTAAGGTTATGGAGATTTGTGATGAATAAGTGCTCAAGACCATTGAACTCTTGCATAGTCAGTTATAAAAGTCCAAATTTTTTAGCCTCCTCTCTAGTTTTATAATTTTCTCAGTAAGCAAGAAGTTATTAACTTCCTAATTAACCTCTTTATGTTCTGTTAGGTTTATCATTACCTTCAGGGCAGATGAATGGGGGAATGGGAAATACTGGGGGAAAAAATATAACATAGAATTGCTTGTTATATTTGTATACTGAGCAGGTGAACTGTTGCTTTTAAGAAAACTATCTCTTTCAGCAGAATTCTTTATAAAGCAGGGCCATTTCAGGATCTATTCATGCCTAACAAAAATACAAAAAAAGAGGGTTTTTTTTCTTATATATTTCTTGTCTTACATAGATACAGTATGAAGTACAAATTGGTAGACTTCTATGGGTCCCATCCTCAAAAAGAGAAGATTTTAATATCAAACTAAGTCACATAGAAAGCCACCACCAGCCTAAGCAGAGAATGGAATTATAAAATTCTAGGGTAGGAAATGCGAAAATCATAAAATTGTCAAAGATGAGGAGTCACTCTTTTTTCTAAAGGTAGTAGTTTTATGTCTTCTCCTTATACACTCTGTGTTAGATATGGGCCAAAGGTGGAGGAATAATAGACTTCCTAAAAGTTACAATAATTTCCTATTTTGTTAATGCAGCCAGGGAAATGCAAAGCATTGTTATGAAATACCATTTTAGAAATAATTTATTTTCTAAGTACCACTTTATTTTGAAGCAAAAACCACACCACTGGCTTGTGGAGATTGACATCTCATGGACAGAGAATCAGTGTTTGTCATGGATGTTCCTGGACACCACCACCACCATTCCGTCAGCACCCAAAGGCCATTGTAAGCCAGATACTTTCGTGATATGGCATATTCGTGAAAATATTAGGAATCAGAAAATAAATGTTCAACTTTCTCAAAGACAGAGTTTCAATGGGTAAAGAATGCTAATTCCTAGAGATAATGTTTTGAGTAAAATCAAATGAGAACAAAAAAGATAAATAAAAACAGAAACTCTTAGCTAATGGCATTTAACATTACTATCTAGTATCGAACAATCTTATAAAATCCTTACTGTGGGGCATGTTGTCCTAGGAAAAGAGCCTAAACACCAGAAGAAGAGTGAAGTTTCTGGGCCATACAACTCAAATCATGCAGATTCATTGCTTTTGTTCAATGCACACCCCCTTCCTCAGAACTGCTGTGTACAATTAACTTCTATACAGAAATCAAGTTATAGGATAGGTGTTTCTCATGTCTCTCAAAATCAGCTTTCCCAACAGGCTTCAAGGTAATAATTTCCAGATCAGAAACTTGATACAAACAAGAAGTCAGTCATATCCTTAATTAAAACTGTGAACGCTTTGGCATTAATGGGGACCAATTCACTGCTTTCCTGATTCAGGTAAATTCTACTATCACATGCAGTGACACTTAAAATATCCCTAGATTTATAACAAGATTTCTGCTTCTTCAGCAAAACCAAGTAGTAAAGCTTTGGCTTAGTATCCCAGGTTAAGTTAAGGTGGATTCAATACAAATGAAAACAGTAGAAAAGTTTTAAAAAATGAATTCATCGGACATATTATTAATACTGCCACCTTTACTGTTTATGAACAGGTTAAAGAAAGATTGGGGACTATTAGAGATATAGATGAAGTAAATTATAGAAAAGTAAGATTTATTTTTTACTCTAAGATCTTAACTTCAGCCAAGAAACATATGAATTAGTTTTTTAAAATGCCCTTATCTAATATACATAGTACAATTCAAATTCTTCATTAGCAGCTTGAAGCTCCTGAAGCCAATGAAAGGAATAAGTAGATAAAAATTAGATCTGTAATAACAACTGCTGATTAGATTATGTTTTTAAAAGATCCCACATTCTTAGTTCATCTTTTTGCATTTTGCCTTTTGTTGTACTGATTTTTTAAGGCATTTACATGGCTACTGTAGATGTAGAAAAATCACAGAGTGGCCAGATATAAAAATATGCATTACAAACATATATATAACAAATACATACTACGTATATCACAAAACATGTTAATTTTTATAAGTGGATAATCTAAAATATTAACTATAGAGTAATTCAGAAATTTGAAAAGCAAACCAACATCTAACATACTTTATTAAATTCACAAAGGTCAATTCATATGTTTCTTAGAATTTTCTATAGCTAAGCAAGTTGCAGGTCTAGATTATTTATTTAAAGAGTGTAACACAAATTAACTCACTTTTATTTCACAAATTCTCCAATGAAGAGAGCTGTGGATTGAACTCTGCTAGGAAAAGAGCCAGAAAGAACTCAAACACACCATCAGACCAAAATACCATACATAGGACACACATGTATGCACTATACAATTTTGCAGGTTTAGAAACAGGACATGCATTGAAAACAGAAATGATAGTGTCATGCAACTCATCAGCATGCCCCTATGAAGATTTTAGTTTCTTGTACACACAATGCTGGAAACTTAAATATATATATATATATATATATATATATATATATATATATATATACACATCTGTTTGCATCTGGGATTTTTAAAAAAGACTCAATCATGAACTCAATAGAGAAGATTTTAATACTGGCAACTGTGAAATACTTTTGCTATTACTCATACTATACTTAAATTGCTGTAATTACACATGCATGTTTTAGAGGCTTTAGCAGATTCAGTAAGCTGATAGGTTTTTTTCAACTCATTCTTCAGTTTTACTGATTTCCAGAGCTGGCAATTCACACAAGGAGAAATCATCCCAACTGCATTATTCATGGAACACGTTGTCAATATTAGCAGTGTATAAAAATTCACAAGGTAACTGATTTAGACATCTTAACACTTTGTGATGTAAAGTACTATGTATTTCCAGTACTCACTTCTTTCACTTTTGATAGCATTTTCATAACAACAATGTTCTGTTTCTTACTTGTTGTTAGGATTTATTTGTTAATGGCTCTTGATAATTGTCACTTGCATTCTCCATCTCAATGCACAAAAATGTTTAGCAAAGTTTTATAAACACAAGCATAAAAATAAACATTTGGTAATTGAACTAAACTTAAGTTTCAAAATAGATGATTTCTGAGCTAATAATCAGAGAAGAACAGAATTCTTATAATATTGTTGTGTGGCCATCAATGCACAATCACCCCCTTTTCCTTCCCTATACATCATTCTGAATATAAAATAGTGTGAAGCATTTAGTAACTGATTTTTGGTTTGCTGCATTTTGATTTAGAAGCTCACAAATAAGACTTGTTCCAAGATAATCTGTGAAAGTTCAGCAAGTCATATACACTGCAGTAAAATGTATTTCAGACATATAAAAATTTAAGTCACAATACATTTCTATGACTCCTTTTAAACAAGGAAATTCAAAGGTATTATAATATGGATCTCAAGATAATACTGGATATCATATAAAATGAAGAAACTACAGTGACATACTTATAATTCATTAGCACCATTACAAATCTTGACAAAAACAATATGGCTTGAATTTAGGCAGGCTATTATTATTACATTAATTTTAAGAACTCACAAAAAAATAATAAATCATTATTAAATATTGTTTGCTACAACTTTCGGGATTTGAATACTGAAGAAGGGAAAAAAAAAACTGAAAATACCATCACTTGGACCTTTGAAACTTCCCTCCAAATCCTCGTAGAGATTTGTCTACATGTACAATGAACTACTATTAAGTACCAAAAAGCTGGACAGGTTTTGCGGAAAGGTACTCAGAAGTATGAATATTCATTCATGCATATATACATTTTTTCTAACTAGAAGTCTTAGGCTATACAATGGAGTTGTATACAACGATAATACAATGAAGTGAAATTTAGGCATATTTTGGGCAGGGCTTGTGACATTAAAGAAAGCTTGGACTTGAGATGTGAGTTGTTTGAAAGAAGTTTGCATGATCGGGACAGAGGTGTGAGTGCCGGAATATATGTTGTTGGGGAGCCTGAGAGTATCAGGAGTTTCTTTTAAGTAAAAAAATAGCCACAAGCTACTGAATGCTTAGAAGAATAAAGAAGTTATAGAACATAGCACAAGGCTTAATAGATTATCAAGTGCTTTGTTTTATGTAGAGGCCTACAGTTGGGTCTTTTCAGGCATTTGAAATCTAACCACTAGCACTGTTTAGCAGTTCAAGAGAATTTACTAAAATAGCTATCCAACAGCTATATAGACCAAAGCAAAGTTATATTTCTTTACAGGAATTTTCTAAGCATAAATGCTTAGAAGCCCATATTTAAATCCAGGACATAAGAATAGCCAGGATGCTAGGGTCCCAACAGAGCTGCCTGTGAGGGATCTTTTATCCTTCCTTCCTTCCCTGGGCCCCACTCCATGATTGCATATATGACCACACTGGCCATCCTATTCTCGCTCCTTTGTTGTGAGGTCAGGATGGTATACCTGCCTGAAGCCAATCCCGCCACTGTTGTGCCTTTTCTAAGCAAGCCTGGTCCAGCAACTTGCCTCTCTGGTACAGAAACCTGGAGACAGTCATCATAAATGTGAGAAGAAGGCGATACTCTTTCCCAGTTGCTGTTGCAGCATAAATTCAACGCTATTTGGGATTCTGAAGGAAGAGGACATAAAGTAAGGCAGCCCGGGAAATGTCAGTAAGGGGTATTTTCCAAAAGCTGGAATAGCAACATGGATTCCAGTCAGGGAATATGGCATGAAGGTTTCAGGCATAGTCACTGTGTTAAGGGAAAAGGACAGGGAAGAAAAGGAGATTAACAACACCAGGTTCCTGGTATGTAATGGTTTCATGTAATTTACTGTTTTCTTCCCTCTTCATGTTTGATAAATTATTGATAATCAGTCCCCCGTCACTGTAGTATTTGAAATGATTTTTTTTCTAATTAGAAATACACTGTGCCTCCCAACAATAAATTTGAGTAGCCAAGAAGACTGAAGAATGTTTGCAAGGATTGTCAACAGGAAATTGAGAACAATTTAGCCACTTTATCATAAGTTCTCTTAATACTAATGACTTCTCAAACTCTATTTGATTTTAAAGTGCTTAAATATAATTTTAATGTAAAAACTTAAAAGATTCTCCAGCAAGTCATCCAAATAACTATAACAGCTGCCGTGTCATTCCATATCATCGTAATCCCCACTATCAGTTTGGATGGTGTATTATATACACTACCTCAAGCACCTAATTTAGTGTTTATCATTCATTAAAATAACAAAATACTAAAATAAGAATATTTTGTCATCAAATTTTGTCTATTTTACCTCCTGTAGATAAATCAACAAATCTTTCTCTGCCTCTTACAGGTTTAATCCAAACCTCTACCATTTTTCATCTGGAATTTGTAATCTCCTAATTTGTCTCTAAGCATGCCCTCTATCTTTCCCATCTGTTTTCTACAATACAGCTACAGAGCAAATTTTAAAAGGCAAATATGATTATTCTACTTTTTATTTTCAGATTCATCAATGCTTTGTCCTTACTCTGGGAAAAGACCACAACATAACACGGCCAATACTTCCTGCACTCATCACAACACACCATGACCTTCCTACATTCTCTTTGCTTTTGCCTTTTGTAAGTTCCAGTGCTTTTAAAGTTCTTAGATTTCAGAATGTTTTCTCTAGCCTCAGGGCCTTTGTATATGCCATTTTCTTTGCTTGAAATTCTTCCTTTCTGCCTGGTCTTACCTTATTCAGTTATATTCACTATTCAGACCATAGCTCCCTTTTAACCTCCCTAGAGAATTCCCATTCCTTTGATTAAAACAGACTCCCCTATATTTGCTCTTACAACAATATGTACCTCCTCTTTCATGGCACTTAGAAGACTTGATACTTTGGTAATTTAATTCTTGAATTTTCTCCTGGATGCAAATTCTGTTGTATTATAAGGGTATAGCACAGTATCTGGTTACAGTAGGTTCTTGGTGAGTAGGAGGATTATTTGATAAAGTAATATTTAAAGTCAGCTAGAATATACGTCTTGGCTTGTGAAGGATAAAATAATGCCTTCTGAATTGGTGACTTCTAAAACAATGGGCTTCTATCTCTAAATATTATCTGTAAATAATGACTTTATTTACTTTTTTTTATCTATACACAGTGACAGACAGTTTAGAGGATGTATACATACATATACATTCTTTAACCATGACAAATTGTGGTAGGTACTTTATAATGATTGAAAAAGAGAAAATTCCTCCTCAATTACTGAAATACTTAAAACAGACTGAGAATATTATTTATGAATATGTGTGCTCATTCTTTATTTTATGTGGGGAAAAATACTGATTGAAAGAATGAACTTTGCAATGACTTTAAAATCCATATTTGAAGCTGCAACTCACTATTTTTGCCTGTAAACTAGGGGGAAATACAAATGATATCTTTATAGCATATAACATATACTAACTTTAATCATGCACTATTTTAAGTAAACAATAAACACATCACTGAAAAAGAACATCTGAGCTTGTCTGGAAAAAGTATGTCTACTCCTAAAATGTGTTACATCAAGACTAGTGAAAGTAACCCCTGGTATGTGAACGCATATTAAGTCTAATAAATAATCAGAAAGTGCACGGCAAGCCTCCTGAGGTAGGTCAAACTGATATTCTTTAATGTCATTTCTGCAGTAATTGGCTCCTCTGTATTCCTTGTCAGTTTCTTAGAGCAGCATGGTGTACAAGGAAGAACAGCCAGAGAGTGCTGGAAAATGGATAACACTGATATGGAAGCCCATAATTAGATGAAAGTACTCACTTATCATTCAGCAAACAAATACCAGAAAGCAGAAACTCTGTTATAATCTCACCTCATTTTCTTTGTTAGGATACACCTGACGATACAGTCAAAATAGGAGAAACTGGCTACCTCACTGTGACATTCAAACATTCCATTTACTAGCACATGTATTCCCTGAATGAACACTGCTACTTGCCTTCAACATAACACATCCGAAATTAGGAAACAAAGTTAGAATAGATGCCTCAAATGCCTCTCTTGTTTACAAGAGGTTCTGATCTGCAGTACAGAACAAAAAAAATGTGAGTTCAAAAGCTCAAGGATACAAAAGCTGGAGATACTCATGATACAGAAACCAAGACCAGGCTACATGTTCTGTGGTGCATCTCTTTATTATTATTTCTGGATTTAAAGAAGGATCACAACATTTGAACAAGTGAAAGCAAGAAAGCTGGGGAACTTACCACATCCTTGTGTTCTCCTTCTTTAGGGGTAAGAACGACAGAAAGCAAAATGTTCCCAAGATCATGGTCAGGATAATGAGTGTCTTTCAGTGTTAACGTCACATCTGTGGGCCTGTGATATAAAATATTAAGATTTTGAACAGCCATTAAAACCAAAACCCAAAAATGTACTTTATATCAATAATTTCTATTGAATGTTTTAAGACCCTAGTATTCCAAAGCACAAAACAATGAAGCATGTGTGTGTGTTAATAGAAAGATTTGTTTAGATCTACTATACTAATCACACATAAAAATTTATAACAAAAACATTATTGCATTTTTATAATGACTACAAATAAAGATTTAAGAACACTTGCAACTGCTGTCTGAGTCTTATCTATTATTTTCTTTCAAAGAGATACCTTATTGCATTAAACAGTAGCATACATATTTATGTGGCAACTATTATTATCCATTTGTCTGAATCCAAGGACCTCTGACATTATGACAAACTATAATGACAATCTAGAAATTTGATGTTTATGTGGTTTTGAGGGAAGGGAATGATTAGCTAAATACATACAATAAGCAATGTAGCAAAATAAGCACATTTTTATATATAATCTTTTCATTTTCTTAATCGTTCCACAATTTTTCCGTGTAGTGTTATTTTCCATCAATGATTTGTCTTTTATAGAGAACAAGGGACATGCATGTTCATTGATTAAGTCCAGTAATTTACATATCCTTACGCAGAAGTTGTAGAGAAAATGATTATGGCCTATAGAGAAAACTTATAAAGTAGTGATCTGTCCACAAATGATTTCCTGCTTGCTGCTATTCCCACCACCCATGTAGCATGGCCTTCTAGAACAGAGAGGAGTTTCTTCTCCTTAAAGCCTTCCAAGGATATTTCATAGCTTTGTTTGCCATTATTCTAGCACTGTTTGACCTTTTTGATCTCATTTTTCTCCTATAATATTAGTCAATTCTTAAGTGCATTTTAAAAACTGCAGCTCTTTAATTAGCAGCAAAAAGTGACTAATACTAGTAATCATATAAACTTCCATCCAATCTGTCTCCTTTAGGGGTACTCTTAGGTAAAGGGAGATAAGTAGTGATAGCAAAATTTATTTCTATTTGTCTCAAGTGATAAGAGAGTTGCCTTTTTGAAGCAAGTGCACATATGTTGTTTTTGTGCAATGACCTGAAGAAGGTGACAGGGTAGAGGCTCTGGAAACTTGGTGGATGGTGACAGAAGCATGTGTCCAGATGAAGGGGTGAAGAGGTACTCCCTAAATTCTATCAGTTCATTATAGTTAACATGCTCACCCTTCTTTATCCCTCACTACAACCACAAAGGCAGTGTGACAGCAGGAAATGTAACACTTTCTCATTTTAGATTCCTGGTGCTTAGCACTGACGGGGGTTAAGGAAAGTATCCAAGAATTTTTTTGTTGAACAGTTTTTGTTAAGTAAGTGAATCAGGGAATAGGTTAACTATTATTTCTACTGCTTAACACAAATGCTCACAACTCTAAATGATAGGACAGTGACCATAACCGAGTTTGGCTGACATTTCTATTACACAGGTCCAATTTCATGAGTATGGCTATGGTATTAAAATGGCTCAAAAGTTACCTGTTTAACTCCAATTGTGTGAGATCCAGAAAGGCTGAGCCCATAAAGTCATCCTGCAGTCCAAAATCATAATCAAATACCTAAGAAGTCAGAGACAAGCATGATTATAAATAATTCCAATATAAACTTTAAATGAAAATGTCTTTGATGATAAAATATTGGTTGTCTATATCATACCAAATAATGAAACTCCCAATATATTTTTAAACTTGCTTGTTTTTATGCTTTGGAATAGTAGGGTCTCATGAAACATTCAAAGGAAGTTATGTTTAATTTTTTTGCTGAAAATAATTGATTTATATCAAATAAGACTTTAAGGAAGATGGGTTATAAAATCAAATAAAATATAATAAAGAATCAATAAGGTGGGAAGCATGGCTTAGAATATTTTCTCAAATTACTGACGGAATATTAGCATTACTGGAAGAAACAAATAAGTTGTTTTTAAAATCCAACAAGTATGTCTTCCATACTGGTATATGGTTTTTATTTTCAAGTCACTGAAGATAAATTCTGTGGAACAGCTGTACCACAGTCCTGCATCAGTTAATGTCTTTTCTCTTGTACAGGTGTATTTCAATTTAAGCAAACTTAACAGGCAAAAAAAGCAATATTAAAAAAAAAGAAAGAAAAATACTTTGCATTACAAAGGATTCTTAAATTTGAAGAGACACAGGGGAGTTTATTTCTGTAATAAAGATGCTTAAAGCCTTTTAAATTATTTGATTTACATTCATTTGATTTACATACAACCTTTCAGGTGTACATTTGTTGTAGAAAGAATAGCATTCCTTCGATAAATATTCCCCTGGATCAATTACACTTCTGAGCTCTGGTCCTCCCTCAGGGAGAGATCACATAAATATACTGCACATTTTATGCAAATGATACCACAATGTTTGCAAGTGGCTGCAGGAACATTTTTTGCGACGTGAAATTTACACCAAAAATTAGAGAAAACTCTTTTTGTAATCTTTTGTAAAATTATCTATCACCTGAAGGCTTAAAATCTCAGGGAGACTATGGTGACATAATCATTGAGGACACCTGATGTACACCCAAACACATGAAGTGGACAGTTGTGAGCCAAAGTGTAAAAAGTCCAGCTGGGTCATTCAATAATCAAACTCTCTTTAACTCCTAAGGTGAATGATTTTCCTATGGTCCTAATGCTAGATGTTTAGTTCTCAATTTTATCGATCAGCCAAAGCATAAACACAGGAAATAAAGGAAACAACACAACCCATTTATTAATGAAATAATTAGCTCTATTACTTATTTCAAACCTCCTTAAACTTAATTGGTCCAGGTGGAACTTCAGAATTACAGAGCATAGAAAAAAGAAAAATAATAACATTAACTGTGTGATAATAAGCACAGTTACTGCTGATACACCTTTTAGTATATCTTAGGCGTGATACAAAAACATAGATTTTTAATTTTTTTTCACAATTCAGCAAACAAGTTATTGTTTTCATATAAACAGTCTTACTTTTTTGAAATGCATTTATTTATTTATTAAAAGAGAGGTTACTATTTCCTCCCTCAGGTATCACCACCATGGTGCAACACCATCAAATCACCCATAGCCTCCTCACCATAACTCATTGTGTTTCCTTCTCTCTTTGTTCTCACCCCCTTCCACCTCTCCAGTCTCTGGATGCTTTAGTTCTATAGTCAGCTTTCAAGGGTTAGTTTTTGAGCTCTTCTTTACCTGACCCTTAGTTTGGTTTCTCTATATTCCACATAGTAATGACACCATTCTTTCTCCCTCTGACTTATTTCACTTAACATTATCGCTTCCAGCTCCATACATGTTGCCTCAAATGGCATGAGTTTGTCTTTTTGATCACTGAGTAATATTCCTTTGTGTCTCTATATGACAATTTATTGATCCACTCATCTGTATTGGGCACTTAGGTTGTTTCCATTATTTGGATATTATAAGTAGTGCTGCAGTAAACATAGCAGTGCCAGTTTTCTCTTTGAATTAATGTTTTTGAAATATTCAGGAAGATGCCTAGAAGTAGAATTACTCTGTTGTATGGCAGATCTGTTTTTAGTCTTTGGAGACACCTCTATATTGTTTTCCATAAGGGCTGGATTAATCCACATTCCTACCATTAGTGTAGGAGAATTCCCCTTCTTCCACATGCTTGTCAGCACTTGTTGTTTCTGGTCTTTTCTGTAAGGCCCTTTCTCATAGGTGTGAGGTAGTGTCTCTCTGTGATTTGATTTACAGTTCCTTGATGATAAGTGATAGTGATCATTTTTCCATGTGCCTATTAGTTATCTGTTTACTCTTTGGAGAAGAATTTAGTTCTTCTTCCAGAAGGTTAAAATGTATATGCTACACTTCCCAAAATCTCAGGGCTAAAAGGAGATCAGATACAAATCTTGTTGTGTTGAATTTCAAAAACAGAGCACATTTATGTCTAACAAATAAAACATAAGCATTCACTTTGGATAAAGTACCAGGAATTTAAATATGAACTATTTAGATGGGTTTCTTGCTTCCAAACCCTCTAATCCATGTGTTGAAAATAGTGGTAAAATTAGGTAAAGTTGCTCAGGACTCAGAAAATACTACTCTTCATTTTTATGTGAGTCCAGAATAATATATGTTGTGTTCTAAGCAATAATTTTTCTTAGAATCTTCATTCATTTGTCTACCAAGAAAAATTGCATTAAAGGGCCCTCCCTGGTGGCAACAGGTTAAAGTGCAGCACTATGAAGCTATCCACAGTCACTGTAGCACAAGTTTGATTCACGGCTAAGGAAGTGACCCACCTGACAAGACTGACCTCTCCTGTCCTACCCACTGCTCCCACTCAGCAATGTACTTTATTGATCTGCCTGTTTTGCTCCCCACTCTGTCTCTGGTGAATCTTCTCACCCCCCTACACCTCTGGCCTGTACCCCAGCTCTTGTATGCATAAATAAGTAAATCTTAAACAAAAAGAAAAATAGCCTTAAAGATTGTATCAATAAAAATGTTTTAGGATACAAGTAATGGAAACCCAACTCACACACGCTTCAAAATGAATGTTAGGTCAAGTGATTGAACTGTGGTTAGGTCATTAGGACATAAGGGGATTTTAAATTTGACAGTTGAAATGATTTATATTTTTTTCCATTCATTTTTTGGAAAAATATCTAGTAAACTGTTACAGTTTGCAAAATGCTGGTCTAGGTACTGAAAACATGGAGGTGAACAAACTTAGTAGGGGGAGGGGGTGTGTGCAGAAAATAAACAAATGCATGTGAATGGGTGATAAGTGCCATGGAGAGAAATCTCAGTGCACAGGCATGATGAGAAATGCTGCTTATTCCAGATGCTGAGGATGACAATGACAGAGGGAAGATTTGAATGGAGTGAAGAGTATAAGTGTTGGGTGTTGGGAGTGACCAAATGTGGAGATTTACTAGGGACTGGATAAGGGCAGTAATAAATCAGGCCTTGCATCCAAAGGTGATAAGGCAGTAACAAACTGGGCCTTGCATCCAATTAACAGGGACCTTGCATCAGGGATAGGACTAGCTGAAGGTGACAGCTAACAGGCCTCACATCAAAGGGCACAGCGATGAGTCACCCCCTTTGGAATCTGAGTTTAAATCTATATAAGAGACCTTTCCCCCTTACTGAGTTGGCAGTAGCTGAGGACCCCACCCTAGGGGCCATCTCAGCTATTGTCCCGGAGCAATAAACTACTTGCTCAGCCTTTCTGCCTCCCACCTTCCTTTCTTGAGGCTGGTCACAGAAGTTGGGACAAAACAATAAGAAAGACACTCAGGGCATACAACATGGTCACCAATATAAGATCCTATTCAGAAACTGTGCCTTTTTTTCATCCCAGAAAGCTTCAAAATAACCATTTCACTTTAAAAGAATAATTAACTCTAATCATAGATTATCAGTAAAACAATGGTCAATGCAAAACCTAACTGTGGTCATTGAAATTAGTCATTTTGGTAGAAAGTAGAAGCAAAGGCTTTCCCTTGTGGAGAATTAGCAAGTCTCTCTGAGTCTCATTCACTTGCAAAATTGAGATGCACAACAGTTACTCCTAGGGTTAGTGAGAGGTTTGCATGAGATAATGTGGGCCTGGCTGGCACTTAGCACAGTGTTCAATTAAAGTCATTATTGTGATGAAGAAGTGACTGCAGACTTCATCTGAGAATCAGTAATCTCATGTGTGCTTTGCCTATAACCTTAAAGCAAAGACCATCCTATTGTTTTGTTTCTTTGCTTCTTTTTGCCCTTGATTTTTTCCTAAAATGGTTGAGGTTCTTTATTTATGCATTTATGAAGTATTTGTGTACCAGGTAAAACAAAACATTTAAGACAATACTTCTAACTCTGAAATAATTTTGTTTGGTTCTCTGTGTTGTAGGGCTACAAACACATTTCTATTCCAACAATTTAGTTTCCATTTTTAAGAATTAGAAAATTAACTCCCTGCCCAAGTAGTATATCTGAGTAATCTATTGTAATAGATTAAAAATACAGAGGCCTGGATTCTATCATGGAGTTTCTGAAATAGAGTCTTAGAGGGAGACCCTTGGAGATCTATTTTCTTTATGGGTGATTTCACTTACATCCTCTCTAGTCTCTTTATAACTAATTTCACATGTATACAGACTATAAAGAAATAAAGCAAATGAACTAAGAATCCAAGAGGTATGGTAGTTACCAACAGGGGAGAGGGTGAGCGGGGAGGCAGGAAAAGGGTATTGGGAGGTTATTGGATGAGAGTGAGTAAAGCCGAGACCTTGGCTGTGGGTGACCAAAATTCACAGTTGTTGAGATGTGATGTTGTACCCCTGAAGACCACAGAGGGTTGTAAACCAATATTACCTAAAAAAAAAAAACCCTATGAATAATTCTGATGCACAAAAAGGACTGATGATCACTGATACATTATTTTCTTTTCGTGTTTTTGAAGCCTACTGAGAAACAATTATGAAGAAGGCAACAATGTCATCCAGAAAGCACTTTTTCAATTTTGCATCTTAAGCTTGGGTATCTGAGATATTTAAGGAACTGCTGATTTGGTTCAAATAACAATCTTCCAAACAGAACAGGATCATTTTCTTGATTACTGAAATTGGTCTATCACTTAGAAAAGCATTTAAATTTAACACCCAGATCTCTACTTCATATGAGGCCAAATGAACAACAATTTACACAGACAGTTCTCTTTTTATATTACTTCTACGCCTTACACTGTAACTCTGAGTGTTCTGTGCACCCCCCGGTAACAGTGTCAGTGAAATGACAAGTGGGAATCTGAATTCAATAAAACTGAAATGGATTATGAATTTATCCCAGCACTTAGGATGTGTGCCAGATCCTCCCAGTGGAGACAGGCAGGCTCCAGGGCTCTCGCCTTGACTAACAATACTGCACTTTAGTTCCCAGCTCCTAGCTCATTGGAAGCATTTCTCAAGCTACTCCCCCAGCTTTGTGTTCACCTGCCCTGACTGTGAAGTCAGTCAGAGGGAAAAGACTACTCTTTTTCAATAAAATTAGAAGCTCTATGAATTCTGACCATCTGGAAAGAGCATTTGTACTTATTTTTTTTATGTAGTATTTTAAATGACAGTTCCAAGATTTGGAGGTAGGGGCCAGAATCTGCTTTTGCTAAGAAATGGTACAAGTACTCAAAACTTCAGCATGATTTTATTATCTTGACTCAGAACTGAATTTTGATTCCTTTGGTAGCATTTCCATGATAGAATTCAGAATATAGTGTATGCATTGGGCTTCTTTTTTTCCTTTAATATGGAGGGTTGTAACCTTAATAATTTCTAACCATCTAGTTCCTGGATGCATTTTCATATTACCTGTCACTATAGAAATGGTTAGCCCCTATGAAAGTTTTCAGGCAAGATTAATCTCCATCACAGAGGATGTGGGTAGCCTATCAAAATAATGGAAGTCAATGACACAGGGCCATGTAGAAACACTGAAATGATGTAATTTTCATGAAATTCTGCTAAGTTAAAATATCATTTCCATCTATATTTTTTCTGTGGGTCTTTGTGACCATGGTAGGCAAAAACTGCAAATTACCAAAAAAAAAGCTAAAAGAGATTTTCTCAATAGAAGTCCTATGTTTTTTACAGACTATGAAAACCAATTTTAAAATATGAAAGCATATTAAAATATAAATTATTACATAAAAATGCAATGTGTCATTTCATGTGTGTGTTCCCATTGAGAAGCCAGAGTGATTTCTATTTCATTTAATCATTTTTTTCTAGCGGAGAAGTATAAAAAAGTGAAAGCAATTTTTTTTTTTTTTAATAATTCACTATGTCCCTGCTTCTGTGTGGTAGAAGTTAAGCTGTGGCTACAGAAAAACTCAAAGTAAGTGAAACAACAAACAAAACAATTCTTGAGATCTCTTTTCATTTCTTTCCTAATTTAATACCCTTTTAAACTTGCATGCACCATGCTGTCTTCATTTATACTTTACGAGTATATGTGTGCGAGTGTGAGTGTGTGTGTGTATTCTTGCTCTCTCAAACTCAAACATTTTTGCTACCTTTTTTTCCCATGGACTTCAGATTTTTATTTTAGAATCTATAAGATATTCATCTTCAAATACACATTTTGACTAGGTGAAATAAGTCAGAAGGAAAAAGTAAATACTGAATGATATCATTGATATGTGGAATACATATTAGTAACTAAATTAATAGTCAGACTAGGACAAGGTGAAAAACTAACCCTTGATAGGCGACTGCAGAACTGAAGCACCCAGGGGAGAAGAGGATGGTAGAGGGAAAAGAAGGAAGAGGAAGGAAGCATGATGGTCTATGGTCATGGAGAACAGGTGAGTTGGTGGTGGGTGAACTGTGGTGGTAATACCTGATGGGGTACCCTCATTTAAAATAATTTTACTTTAGTTAAAAATAGTTTTTAAAAAGATGAAATACACATTTTGAAAAATAGTTTGGAATTAGATTACATTTACAAACTCATCATGATGTGCTATTGGATAAAATTGGGATGAAGGTAGAAAGAAAATGATTATAACAGTAGAACTACTTTCAAGTATTTTTCTCTTTCTGAGTTTTTTTCTGATACTTTTCTACTTGTTTGGAGAATGTATCCTTTTTTTTCCCCTTTGGGCTTGGATTGATGAATCGTTTTCCAGAAATGGAGGACTTTTCCATACTGACTACCCATGGATCCTGCCTAGTAGCTGATTATTATTTCTTTGAACACATTATAACTCCACAAAAGACTGTGTCTTAAGGCTGTACCCCCAGATCTTTGCCACCATAGAAATGGTTAGGGAAAATGAAAAAAAGGAAGACTGTAACAGACATCTCTGTGAAAAGAAGGTTCCATGTTCCCTATCTCACTTAATGAAGGGCAGAGCTGAGTTGTCAAGTAAATGTAGAGCACAGAAAGCAGGTGAGCACTGGAGAGACAGATGGAAAAACTGGACTCCCATGTTTCTCAGCTTTGACCTTGGCCAAAGACTTGGGGGACTTCGCAGGGGGTACATGGAGGAAAAACCTTTAGAAACACTTGAAAGACATGTAGGTGAGAGACACATGAGGCTGACAATAGCAGCTATTATCCTGATTTGTATTGTGATTTTGTTTCTTTTGTCCCAGGTTTCTGGGACCCGCTTCAAACCCCTTTTTCCTTTGATTCCTTGTCAGAAGATGCCTCAGACTTGCGGCAGGCTTTCAAACCTCAGCTGCCTTGCTTTGGTCCAACCCTGTTTGGGTTAGCATTTACCCATGAAGGGATGGATTACTTTGGGTCTTTTATTGGGAAACTATCCTCCCTTCTCTGTACACAAATTCTATGACAGTTCTTTCACACTAAAATATATATGTGTATATATATATATATATACATATATATATTTATATATACATATGCATACTGATATTCAGATTTCTACATAGATGAATATTCATTATTGAGAACAAGAGAATAGCAAAAGGACCCAATCAATATCTAAGGTGGTTTGGAAAAGATAATTTGGTACCTTTCAAAAACCCAAGATCCACATGGTTCTGTCACAGAGTAATTTCCCATTAAAGAAACAGATCCACAGCAAAAGTAAGTGAAATTAAATTTCCCTTTCATAGTTTCTCTTCAATAAGAGGGATCCAAAGGTTCGGTGCTATCTTTTTTAAACACCTGCTTCTCTTTTCTACCCATTTTCTTTATCCTGCAGTTGCTCTAACTCATCTTTTCTAAACTTTCACAGAAATAAAACATCCTTATATCCACTGTCATATTCCTTCTCCAGTCCCTATGTTAGTTTTTACCATAAAGTCATTTCCTTTTTCCCCTTTCATTTATGGAGGAGCAGGGGAGAAATATCTCTGACCACAAAGGTCTTTCTTTAGGTAGAAGGGCTGTCTATGGTAACTGTCACAACAAGAACTCTAGTATAGTTACATATTATTTATTAAAACCAACTTCACTAGTTGTACCTACCTCATTTACTTTAGCAGATGTCCATGGGAGAGGATTTCTTCTGTTTATATGGAGCTACTCTGCCTGTAATAATATCTAGAAATACCTACCATATATTTCAGATTTTTTTTTTCATCAGTCTTATAAACTGTCTTGCCAAAATTTTGGTAATATTTTGACTAACTTTTTCCTTTCTTGGAGAAGAAAAACAACTGGACATAATATATATGAAAATTGGAGGAGAAGCAGGAAGCCCCACTGATTATTGAATCTGATTTTAAGAGATTTTTGTCTCATGTGCTAGTTGTGATATTCACAGAAGAGGAAGGGTATTTGTTATTGTGGTAAAATAGAAAATGGTTGTGGGAATACAGGTGCCAACAAGAATAATGATGAAACTCCCAGAAGGAGGATCTAGTGGGGTAGAAAAAAGGGGGTATCTAATGGAGGATTACTGCAGCTTTAGTTATAGGTATGGTGAATAATGTACAATTGTAGAGGAGTAAAACGAGATCCTTAAGATTTATACTTTGATCTAAACCAACAGCATCTCAGTAAATATAATGTAAAAAAAATCAAGAGGTGCAAATTCAAAACAAGTCAGGTATTAAAATAAAACAAGGAGTAAGGTTATAAATTAAATGCTTTCTTAAGTTTTGCTTCTTTAAGAAATTATATCGCATGAAAGGAAAGACATTTCCCCCCTCAATTTGGTCATGCAATAGATACAGGAACATTTTCTCCCCTCATTATCATTTTACACTTCTTGACTTTTGAGTAAAGAATTTAGTTTGCATTCACTGAAGTGGTTCTTAAAGACTGGATTCTGTTTTTCTGTTTTTTGCTTTCCTTTTAGCTATATAGATTTGTTTTTACATGTTTCCAATGTTTACCAAATCAGTCAACTTCATGTAGAAGGAGTAGATGAACTTCCTAGCCCTCATAAATGACTAACAAAGAAATGTCCCGAAAAAAAATCTCCCAATAGTTACCCTCCCCTATCTCATTTCTATCACAGCTTAGAGTTGTGCATCGTAGAATATATCTCCACTGAAAAATCTCATCACATAGAGAGACATGATTAAAATATCAAGCAGAGTTTCCAACCGGCCTGAATTAGGAGGAATAAATAAATGGCCCACCTTTATATACAGTGGCTCCCTAAGATGTTCAACAAGAATGCAAGCTTTCTCATCCCACACAGGATTGAGGTTCTTGTGTATTATTCTGCTTCTAAAAACTTCTTTTCTTCCAATTTTAAACTTCACGTATGGATCGCTTGTTCCTGTTAAAGAGATACAGATTGATCCATGTTAATCAAGTTTTTTCTATGAAAACAGCGCATAGCTCATTTAAATATCAGAAAGTATTTAAAGGAAAGAAAGGGGAATGAAGCTTTTCACGTGGGAAAATAAGAATCATATATTTTTTCCAAAAGTTTTCCTTAAAACATTAAAGTGACAGAAAATTATTATTATTACTGTTACTACATATTCTTATTTTAATATTATAAACTTAACCTGGTTTAAAAAAATATTGCATGTTACATATTTAATTTAGTTGGTGTTATAAATGATAGAGATTGATCTGGCATCCCTCCTGGTTTCATCTTGCTGACTTAAAATGATGATCAATGAACTTGACTGGTTTAAATAAATTTAGGCTTCTATATGCTGTTAAAATTGTACACTAGCCTAATGAGCTTACGGAGAGAAAAATCTCAAACTGGGGTTTCAGTATCTCAGCAGTTTCAGTTTTAGAACATTAAGTAGAGATGGATGTCATCCAGTAGAGACACCTTAAAATGCTTATTAAATAATAATGGGGATATTTCATAATATCTCTTAACACCTTCTAAGGTATGATGATAAAGAAAACCAGCACTGTCAAATAATCTGATCACGAATACACAGCTCACAAGAGATGGAGTTAAGATTCCAACTAAGGTTGTTGAACTCTACCTGAAAGATTGAAGACCTTTACATATGTAATGTGTGTGTGTGTATATACATATATTATACATATGTGTGTGTATATATGTGTGTATATATATGTATAATATATGTATATACACACACATACACACACATATATATAACTGGTAATATCTGTATATTATGTCATTTCTGATATTGACGGATGAGTGAGGGCAATCTTTACTGAATGACCCTATACAATTATTTTATTTTTTAAATATTTATATATTTATACACACAGACCTGGGCACAGGCCAGAGGTGTGGGTAGTGAGAAAATTTACCAGAGACAGAGTGAGGAACAAAACAATCAGATCTACTAAAATATACTGCTGAAAGAGCAGTAGCCGAGATAAGAGGTCTGCTGCACCATGAAGGTCACCACCCTGGCTGGGGATCGAACTCAGAGCCACAGTGGCTGTGATAGCTTCATAGTGTGGTGCTTTAATCTGTTGTGCCACCAGGAAGGGCCCTGAATGACCCCATACTATAATTAAGGAATCCTAGAGAAGATGAATCAATGTCATCTTAAGCAAATCTTTCCAGCATGTGATAATCTTCATTCTCAGGAAATAATTCTTTACACAAGCTTTTCTTTTAAAGGAGTTCCTAACTGTTTTTACATTCTAAATTTAGGCAACCTTTAGCGATATAGAATTCTTAATATATCATGCATTTCCTAATAATGAGAAGTTCTGAGAGGAGCACAGTTAGGTGCTCTGGTTGTGCAAATATCAGTGTGTACTTTCACCAACGGTGCAGCCTCCTGTCCAGCTAGGTTATATAAAGGGGCCCGCTGTTGTACCTGTGGGCTGTCATTTACTGAAATGTCATTGTGCATCAAATGCTAGTAGCTCAAGATGTTCAGCACTTGACTCCAACATAGGGAACTAGAGACATTCATCTTTTAATTCAGATTCAGTATATGATTTATGTCTAAAACACTCACTTTTATGTTTGAAATTGTTTTTCCAGCATTATTCCAGCAAATTATTCTTTGGTAATATTAATAAGTAGCATGTGTGTTTTATTTATTTTTTTTATAGACTTGATTATTTACGCTTACAGAACTGGGATACAGGCCAGAGGTGTGCTGGGTGAGAGGATTCACCAGAGACAGAGTGGGGAGCAGAACAGGCAGATTGACAAAGTACACAGCTGAGGTGAGCAGCAAGCAGGTCAGAAGAGGTCTGCCAGCCATGTGGGTCAGCTCCCTGGTGGAGGATCAAACTCATGCTACAGTGGCTTTGAAGAGCTTCATAATTCGGTGCTTTAACCCGTTGCGCTACCAGGGAGAGTCCAGTAGCTTGTATTTTATAATCAGGGAGTCCCGGACAGTTAAAAAATGCTGATTAGAACTAAATTAACTAGATTCATTTTCTATAATATTTAGATAAGTTGTTGTGGCTTGAGATTCTTCAAAAGGATAAGACAAGCAGCATTTATGAGGTTTCTCTTAACAGGGGCTCAGTTTTCTTTTTTCAGAATTAATAATCTGAAATGTAACTTTTTTTCATAATTAAGGATGTTTAATGTTTTGGAGATTCTTTTATGTAATACACCTTTCAATGAACTCAAGTCATTTGCAATAACGAGACTTCCAATCAATTCAAGCCAGATGTGGTTAACCTTCAATAAGTATATAAAACAAGTAAAAAATTTAATTTGTTGATTCACAGAAACTCAAAAGTTCAATTTATTCATTTGCTGTTTGTTGCAATATTGCGTACAGCCGCAAGATGGCAATAACCCATGTCAAATGATTGCAAGGTCTGTGTTCTGCTGTATACCGGTTTCAGCATTTTCTAGCAACTTGTACATGGCCATTACTAGGAGGATCATGACATTTACTAAACATTTTTTTTTTTTGGTATTAACAAAATGAAAAAAAAATGTGAGAGAAGAAACTAGGATGGTACTAAAAATAATTGAAGGCTTTCAAGAGTACTCTTTTACCCAGTTATTTTACCATATAAGTTTAACTTCAACAGTTATTTTTAAATGTTATTAATTAATTTATTTTATATTATAATGTCCATACTTAAAAATTCTATGACATTCCAGATCTGGAGAGTATCATTTGCTTATTTCTGAACCCCAAGATCAAATTGCTTAAAATTTAAAGAGCAATTACGTAGTTTTTACAGTGTTTTGTCATGTGAAGGAATACTCATTCTCAGTATTATGTTTTAATTTTTTTGGTCAGACTGCCAAGGAGAACATACACATTGCTTTTGTAATTGTTAGTTTTTGATGTAATAAAATGTAATTCCAGCCGGTGTCTGAATGGGTCTCCTTTTGTGCAACAATACCCATAAAAGACACAAGATGGCAGCCGCTCACCCTTACAACAGCATTAAATATATATATAATGTAAAGAGCCATCTCATAATGAGTCTCTTGGCTTTCATTCTCAGAATAAATTTGCCTTCTGGTTAATAAGTTTAAGCCAAACTTATTTAAAACTAGGATGTAATGAAAAAGCAACAGTTACTCCTGTTTTGGGAACCTATAATCATTCAATAATGCTAACAATCACAAATTGAAACTGAATTTCTGAATTAGGAGAAAGATGGAGATAAAAAGAAGAGAAGAGAAAGTAGGGGGAAAATAACAAAAAAATTAACATGCACTAACTGTGAATAGTGAAAAAGAATTCAAATTTAAGCTGGATCTTCGTGAAGGTATCAGCTCCTTTTTGACACATATTTAAAGTCAACTACTTTTGTTGTAGAAATCAACATTAGTGTATAATAATGTCTTTTATACTGAAAAGAGGGCTGTACATATAGCGATGTTCAAAACAGTCAGATCAATAGAGTGTGTCTTTTTCCTTTTTTTTAGTTTTGATTCTTTATATTTATTTTTGCACAGTACAACTGGGGTGTAAGGCAAAGGTAAAGGGGTGAAAGGAATCACAGAGACAGAGTGGGGTGTAGAACAGGCGGATCTGCTGAAATGCACTACCAATGGGAGCAGCAGGTGAGACAGGTGAGGTCTGCTGTACCATGTGGGTCAGCTACCTGGCTTGGGATCAGACTCAGGCCACAGGAAAGCCTCTAGAGTATGTCTTTATATAAATCTGTTTTCAGTAATAATTAAAAATCTTCAAAATGGGTACCTTGTTTCTGCATTAAAAATCATGTCCTCAGCAGCTCTCCTGCCCTCCTGTGAATATGGAAGTGCCTTCTCTTTTTCTTTCTCCCTTTCCTAATAAGACTTTCTGCTTAGCTTAGACTTTCTTCCTCACTTTTTGTTGGAGGTTTATAATGCCCTCCAACAGGTGTATTGAGAAGACCAGATAACCAAACACATTTGGCTTTTGATATTCACCAATTACATAACCATGATTCAACCAACCAATAATAGGAATATACTGTATAGTTAGATCCACAGTGGTTGTGTCTGTACTGAATATATACAGTTTTTCCTTGTCATTATTCCCTATATATAACACAGCATAACAATTACCTGCAAGTCTTTGCATGAACTTGGAAAATGGAGTTACTATAAGTGACCTTCATATATGTTATATGCAACTACTAAATCAGACTTGAGTATCTATGAAGTTTGGTGGATAAGTGGATGCAAGGAGAATTCCATCTTCTGTACCCACAAGCATACTTGTGGGGGCACAGACCCCAGAACTCTGGCTCAGGGTCAGTAGGCAAAGTTTCTCTGTGTGCAGGAAATCTGGCACAGCTAAGTTTGTTGTTAGTTATCATGGAGCCT